TAACAAAAATATCTTTCTGCTAAGTGTTTATTAGGCATTAGGGCAAAATAAATAATAATACATAGCTCTTGTATAGATCTCAAAGTACTTCATAAAGGAGGAGCCCATTTTACAGATTGGGAAAGTGAGATATAATAATTTGCCCAAAGTTACCCAGAAAGCCAATAGCAGAGCTGGTAATAAAACCCAGCTAGCCTAAGTTCTAGTCCATAATTATGTTCCTGCCAAATTCATGGCCTTAAAAAAATGCACTGCCGACAGTGAAATCTGGTCTCCTCCCATGAAATGTGTGTGTGTGTGTGTGCGCGCATGCGCACACTTTTACTATGATTTCACAGGGGAGACCAGAGTTTCTCAAACAGGGGTCCCGACTCAAAAGAAAGCTGGAGGGGTGTTGCAAGGTTATTTTACGGGGGATATAGTATTGACATCTTTCATAGTTGAGGGGCCACAGAGCAGTGGCACCCATCTCTGCAGGCAGTTCCCTGCCATCAGAGTGAAGAAGTAAGGGTGGCATAATACGGAATTGCCTTTCTTACTACTGAACTGCTGCCTTAGGAGCTGTGGCTGGGGGGTGGTGGCAGTGCAGAAGTAAGAGTGGCAACACCATACCATGGCATCCTTACTCCTGAGCTGGTGCTGATGGTGGCTCTACCTTCTGAGCTGAGCTCCTGGGCAGTAACCACCACTTTTGAGCTGCCCAGCTCTGAAGGCAGCCACAGGGCAGGTTAGCAGTACTACAACCCCCACCCAATAACCTTGCAATCCTTCCCCAACTCCTTTTTGGGGTCAGAACCCCTACAATTACATCACCATGACATTTCAGATTTAAATAGCTGAAATTGTGAAATTTACAATTTATAAAATCCTAAAGTGAAATTGACCAGAATGGACTGTAACTTTGCTGGGCTTTAATCATAATTAATTTTTTAAAAAACCCTAAAAGACCCCACAAGTTTTAAATGGCCTAAATAAGCTTGTCTCCACCTTGCAATTACTCTGCTGACAGTTTTTTTAATTAATTTACAATCCCACTAACTTCTCTAGTTACCTATGGAGATTCAGGTACGTGTGATGTGAATTAAGATCTCCAAAGTTACCCACAGAGTTCTAGATAGATGTGATCAGCATTTCTAATGTAAAAAATAAGAAAGGGGGGAAATACTTTAAAAAGACCAAACCCAATTATATTATATCATATATATCTTATCATATATATTTGAAGACATCTTTATCAGCAAGGCTATGTTCTGAACTGGACATAATGCATCAGCATATATAGAAAGAATGATCTTCATTGTGCAAAAAAGCAACACAAATATCGTCCACTGGGCAGTTGTACTAGCACAAGAAAAAGGACTAGACACTTATAAAAAATAAAACGAGAATCTAAGAAAAGTTTTGGAAAGAAATAATAAATTGCAGAAGCCAGGATTTTTATGCACTTGGTTTTCTGCTGTCCCTGTCCATGTTTCCCCAAACAGCTTAGAAAAAACAAACACAGCTAAAAGCTTCTAAACAGTGAAATTCAGTTAAGCAAAACTGAGTCAGTTTCAGGGTTAATCACTAGCAATCTGAAAGTAAATAATATTCTCTTATTAAATACCATTCCCTGGTAGCATTTACCAGAAAAGTCTCAATTTGATCATAGACAAAAATCTTGTCAACATTTGTTGGAGTTTAGTTCATGGTTTATTAGCACTCCTTTATGTAATGTGAAAGCATTCAGATCTTCTCACCTAATAATGGTATATTCTGTGGAAAGTAGGTAAACAACTTAACATGAATAACTGTGATAATCTGTTCTGATCTTTTGCATATCTCATGCCATAGAATTTCACCCTGTAAATCCTGCATCAATTTGTGGTTGAATAAGAGCATTATTCAGACAAGGTTGAATAGATTGGCTTAAACCATATCATTAGAGTCCCTCCCCGCCCAAGGAATTCTTATAACTAAATAACATTCAGATCTCATATCCTGTAGACACAGTCACTTCAGGTGATTTGTCAATATTTATTTAATGATTCTGCAGGTCAACTGACATTTCCCAATGGACTAATTTCACTGCATATTTTAGAATGTGTCCCCCTTATGTTCTTTTTTTGGCTACACAATCTAGTTCTATTTATGGTATCCCGACTCTTATCAAGATTCTGTACCTGATGTATAAGAAAGGAAAGGCAAGCAGACAGAGTAAAACAAAAAAGACCAGAAGTAAATCAAAAAATAAACTCTGATAAAAGCTCTCCTCCCATAAGAGATTAAAATCTTAACCAATACCACATTAAGAAAAAAATCAATATTTTATGGACTAGAAAAAACAGAGAATTATATACTTGTAGTTAGTTAGTTATCCAGTTTGGCAATGGCTTATTTTCCTGTTGTGTACTTTTCTTTTTATGTCTTCTAAATGTAATTACCACTTTCACTGAAATAGGGGAATGAGATCTTAATGCAACTAAAGTCAATGAAAAGACTACTATTAACTGCAACAGTCTTTGTATCAGCACCTAAAAAGATACTTGTGCTCCTGAGTAAGGTGTGCTTTAAAACAGGAGTGTGGTAAATGGTATGAAATCTGCCCTATAGTATTTAATTGCACCATTCTCAATGGCCTAGTATAATGATAGTTTAATTACATGAAAGCATAGAACAACAAAGGTAAGAAGCATTTGTAACATGAACTGAGATGGCCTTTAATATAGACACTTTAATTTTAAAAGCTCAGTAAGCAGATGAAATCCTCGCAAAGTGACATAAATGAGATTTAGGAACAAAGCTATATTGTTCTATTGATTGTAATGAAAATATATCATTAAAATAATTGCTGTAATGATGATAAATGTACATGACTCTTAACAAAATGCTGGTTTTTCTAAAGCATTGACAGTTTTAATAGAGACAAGAAACACATGTAAGAAAAGGTATTAGACAACAGTTCAAAGAGGAAAGACCAAGAAGAAACTATTCATGGTGAGAAGGACAAATGAATTTCTGGAAAATTGGTTTTCAGAAGGTGAGAGGTTATATGGCAGACAGGAAGGTGAATCTCAGGCCATGTGTATACAAGGTAAAAATGTGTATGTTTAGTATATACTGAAAAAGGCAGTGGCAGTTTTATAACATGTTAGCTGGTTGAGGGAAACTATACACAAGTACTGTGTTTGATTGATGGAGAGTATTGATGCCAGTGGCAGACTAAAGTGTGGTTTTATTTATTTGTATTCTGAAAAGATGACATAGCAAAGAAAAAATATTCATAGAAAACTAGCTCATTTTGGTAAAGGGACTGTAGTCCAGCTCTGCAAATTGCTAGTTTTGCAACCTATTTTTGTTTGTTAAGAAAGGATCAGCTTTGATGCTTCAGAACATAACTACTCTGTGGAAGGCTGGGCTGGGCTTATGGGCAAGCAACTCCAATCTTAGGGGCACCAGACTCAAGGTGCCATTTTTGTTGTTCATAACCAAAAGGGTAGCAGAATGTTTGAAGTAAAATGTTTCAGATATTCTATATGTGGATTCATTTTCAGTAACCTCCTACTATGTTGTGGAGCTTTATAGAATCTCTTAGAACCTTCTAATTTTTCTGAAAAATAGATTTTCCTGGAACCAATGTTCTCAGCCAAGGTTTGGATAAATGAAGCACCACAACAAGACATGGAGGAAAGGGGCTGTATGACCTTAGTAAGCTGCCAGCAGACAAGAAAAGAATAAGTGTGTAGATTTCACCAGATGGTGGCACATGGGAAATGTTTGGATGCCATTGATAAAGACCCCTTATGTCAAATTGGACAACATGTCATGTTTTAGCACATGGGAAGCACTCTTCCCTCCAGGTTCTCCAGTTCATTCAGGGTGCAGAGCTGAAGGACACTTTTCCTAGTGCACGGATAGCTTTGAGGATTCTGCTTACATGCCGCATGGTGAGTGCGGCCTTTTGAAATGTATCTTTAAAATGTACCTTTGATTGGTGAGAAAAGCAAACTTTGGAACTAGAGAACTAGGGTTAACATTCTAAGGCTGTCACCTACTTAAAACTTTACAATGTAGATGCACAATTCAATTTTATTTGATATCAACACATTTCAGATTTCTATAAGCTTACAGGAAACAATTTTTTTATTTTCTTTTACATGACATGAAAAAAATACAGATTCACAGCATGCAAATTTATCATATAAAGCCGGCTTAAATGACACATGCAAATTGTGTATCAAAGTCATGAAATGGGCTATAAATGGTCTGGGTGACATTTGATCTATGGCTCATCCTGGTGGTAAGTGTTAGTAAGAAACTTACAAGAATAGCAACATATATCATACTTGTGCATTATGCATTTTCTTCCATTTTCATTTGGAGCAGCTCGTGCTGGCCACTGTTGAAAACTAGATACTAGGTTAGATGGGTCCATTGATCAGATACCATCTGGCAATTCCTCTTTTCCTTCATCATAATGCATGAAAAATTTAAAGAATTTTTTTCTCCCATATAATTCAACTTTTTTTCTCCCATATATAGTGCTTAGTAATGTAGAGATTTTTGTTGCTACAAGCAAATATGAAGTGGAAAAAATGAAAATGGATTTTTTACAGTCACCTTTTCCAAAAATAATCTGTGAACATGCACCTGTAATTTTGGACCCATAATTAATTGCTTGGCTAAGTCCCACATTTTTGCAAACTGCTTAGTTAACATCCAGTATAACGAGAATCAGAAAACTGGAAAAAAGCAAGTGAGTTGCTGATAAAGTGTAGAACACTGTAAGGGGATTCTGACTTCATGTACAATTTGAAACAAGCATTAAACCGGCTTTTAATTGTGTAGTTGGTGGTGCAAATTATGGAGGAGATGGCCTTCTGTCTCCTCCTGGCCATGGAGTGGATTCTCGTCTCCTTGTATTAGTGGGTATCCATTTCTGTTATTCCTTTCTGTTTGCAAGGCAGAGAAGTAGTCCCCTCTCCCCCCGCACTCTTCCCTCTGGAATGGTGAAAACCCTCCTACCCCCCCAGCTCCTGTACATAGCAGAATGACTACTTTGGCAGCAGCCTCCTTTGTCTGTCCAGCAGTCTTGAGGTTCAGAGCGCAGAGGGGCATTGTTCAGATTAAATATTGTGACCCAATGGGGATGCATTTCTCTACTGTCACCACCACTTTACACCTCAATGTCTGGATCAATAGAGTACTGGTATAATTTATATTCATTAAGGTCACCTATTATGTCTTCCCAATAAAGATTTTTCATAGTAATTTTTGGATTATGTAATATGAAACCCTAAAGCTCCCAACGGCAGAGTGCACTGTTTTACAAGGACGAACATACTGTATTTCCATTAAAATATATGCAGACATTTCTTTTGAAATGTTTTCTTAACCAGAACTGCGTAAAACTCTTGTTACAAGACACAAGGCATGCATGCGGCAGCTGAGCACTGTGATAGAATTGAACTGCTGTTGGAGAGTGACTTGAATGACTAAATAACTCTTAGGGCCTTTAGATGAATTTCTGACTGCAGGCTAATGAAGTACTTGGTTACAGCATGAGAGAATAATGAGTGTGTGTCTCTAACTATACAGCAGAGCCACATTCACGACAGAGAATGTCGTCCTGCTGTGTGAGAAATCCTTGGCCCACCAGCGAAATGGAACATTTTACACAGTTAAAACAGTCACTGTGCCACTGGCGTGCTTCAAATGAGATATATTTGGCATCTCCAAGAGCTGAAAAAGAAATTAGGAAAAGGGGAATTCAATACATTTCAGAAGAGATCTGAAATTCAATAGCCTGTTTTTGAATATATCATGTTGTCTTCTTTCACACTGAAATCTACAGGCATCCTGCAGTTTGAAATATCCTGTAAAAATAGATTTGCCCAACATATGCAAGGTAGGTGCTAAAAATGAAAGACGAGGACAATATTTGCAACAAAGTTCCGAACTGTGAGATACCTGCCTGTTTTCATATTCCATTATGATCTCTAAGCATAGATGTGACTCATACACTAAGGCCGGGGTCTCAAATGCCCAGCCCATAGGCTACCCTGGCTGGAGTGAATGCACCATCTGGCCTGGGAGTACTGGTGGGCTGAGGTGGGCAAGGGCATGTTGGAATCATCCCTCAAGCCCTTCCCATTATCACTTGCCCTCTCCACCACAAAGCATCTCAACCCCCAAGGATCACCAGGAGGGCCTGATGCGGCGATAGCAGTCGACTCCCTTGCACAGCCCATAGGGGAAATGGAGTGCAAGGCCAAGTGGAATGCAAGGCCCGGTTGCCAGGGACAACGTTTGAATGTGTCTGGAGGCAGGGCCATCCTTACAATTTATGAGGCCCTGTGCAACTAAAGCCAACCCTGCATGGCTTCTGCTGGTGGCAGGCTGCGTATTTCATGTATGCCTAGGGATGGTACTGCTTGGAGGGGGGGTAAAGCAGAAGGACAGAGCCCCCTTCTTTCCTCAGGTGGGTGGGGAGAGCACAGTGGCCTTGGTCTGGGCACTTGGCAGGGGAGGAGACACTGGGGTGGTCATGAGTTGTCCTCTTTGGGTCTTGCACCTGGAGGCAGGAATCATCTCTGATAGAAATTATGTGAATTTTTGTGGTTCCAGTGCAAAATAAAGTGAAATTCAGATATTTCAATGGAACATGTCTGAGATTTAGGGATTTTCATAGTCCAGGACTCAAACTGAAAATCACTAGGTTTGAGCTATGTGAAATATAAGGTCCCAGAAAAAGCATACCCTCAGGTAGGTATACTGGTGGATTTTGGAACTCCATATCTTAACACGTGAGTGAAGATTTTGTTAATCTCAAATATTCCTAAATCTGTTACTGCCTCCACCCTGTAATCTTATCACAGTTGATTGCATTTCCCCTAACTTTTTGGATGTATGTATATGAGTAGCATGCTACTGTTATTAGCTGGTTCCATTACACTTCATCATTGGGCTACAGGAGTAGAGGATTCATTACTAATCATCTCAACTAATGGTCTCAGAATAGTCATGGTATGGACCTGACTTTGAATTATAAATCATCTAAGGACACAGGGCCAAATCATAATACAACTATTCCATGAGTGGCTAGATCTCTTGAGATACGTCTACACAGCAAAATTATTTTGAAATAACTTAGTCCGTATCCACACAGATGGCAGTTATTTCGAAATACTATCAAGCTGGAGGACTTCTTACTCCGATTCATTGTACGAGGAGTAAGGCAAGTCAGAGGAAGCTCAATTTGCATAGTTTATTTCAAGTTATGTTCTGCTGTGTAGACACACTCTTAATGTGGTAAATGTGCCTTAGCTAAACAGAACAGTTATATCTAATTAAGATACAATTGTACTAGTTTTAGGTCTGAAAAAAACTGATTACAGGAATAATATACAAAATGTTTGTGTTCACAGTAGAGGTAGGATGCTACTGAGGATACATCTAGATTGCACTCTAAAATCAAAATAAGATACGCAATAAGCGCTATGCAAATTTTGAAATAAAGCACTATTTTGAGACATCCCTTATTCCTTGTGGAACTAGGTTTACAGGGATGCTGAAATAGTGCATCTGTTATTTTGAAAATTATTTCAAAATAGTGGCCGTGTTCCTTGGATGTGGGGTAGCTATTTCAGGAGGTATCCCGAAATAGTCTTGACGTACCCTAAGTGTCTCTTTGTGTATCCTTAGGGACGTGAGTCACTCAACTTCACTTTGCAGTTCCTCCATCCAAAAATATACAAGACATTTATATAAACCAAAAGAAAAGTCTTTTCAGCACATGAAAATAATGTAATGCTTAGTAGGTCCTGTAGAATATGTGATTTACATGGTCTAACAAGTTATGTTGCATTTACTATGGACCGAATTCAGATTCTGTCTTCATTTACATAGCTAAGAACAGAATTCGATTCATGGAACTCACTTTCATATGGCTGAGAGCCTACATACTGCCCCTTCAGTGGGGCAAGTTTTATAACAAAGAGCTTTATAGGGAGCATGAAATAGATTTTGTTTTTTTCCTTTTGTGTGATTTGGAGGAAGAATATAGGAGGACACCTTTTGTGTCACCAGACAACATTGACCTTATTTTCAGCTGATGTATATTTCCTGAGCTTACCTGACGATTCCAGTAAGTCCCACCAGCTAGACCAGGGGTAAGCAATAATTTTTGGCTGGGGGCCACTTCAAAATTTTTTGAAGTGGCCCCGGGCCACCCTGGAAGTGGCAGGGCTAAAGTGGAAGGGGTGGGGCCAGGATGCTTCTGGGCTTCCCCACCCACAGACCATGATTGGTCTGGGGGTGAGGGAGTCCCTTTGCCCCCCCTTCCCACTAAGCACCCATGCCCCTGGCAGGGTGGAAAGAGGCTTCACAAGCTCTCCCACTCCCCAGGCCAATTAGAGCCTGGGGGCGGGGAAAATGCAAAAACTGGGCTAAAGTGGAAGGGGTGGGGCCAGGATGCTTCTGGGCTTCCCCACCCACAGACCATGATTGGTCTGGGGGTGAGGGAGTCCCTTTGCCCCCCCTTCCCACTAAGCACCCATGCCCCTGGCAGGGTGGAAAGAGGCTTCACAAGCTCTCCCACTCCCCAGGCCAATTAGAGCCTGGGGGCGGGGAAAATGCAAAAACTACTTTGAAGTGTCTCACGCTCCTGGCAAGGCAGGAGGAGACTTCACACGCTCCCTTGCCCCCATGCCCTGATGAGACTGGGAGTGGGAGGAGCATGCAAAGTTTCCTCCACCCTGCCCCCACCCTGCGAGGAGCCTGCAGCACTTCAAAGTGCTGCACACTCCCCCGCAGGGCAGGGGCAGGGCAGAGGAAGTTTTGTGTGCTCCCCCGCCCCCATGGTCTGATTGGCCTGGGGGCAGGGGAGCATGCGAAGCCTCCTCCCGCCCTGCCAGGAGTGCGTTCCTTATAGAGCGAGGGCGGGGCGGAGGAAACTTCACGTACTCCTCCCTCCCCCAGGCCAATCCCTGGGCTTGGGGGTGGGGGAGCATGTGAAGTCTCCTCCTGCCCTGCCAAGAGCGTGAGGAACTTCAAAGTGTTACGTGCTCCTGGCAAGGTGGAGGAAACTTCGTGCACTTCCCCCGCCCCCAGGTCCTAATTGGCCTGGGGGCAGGGGAGCGGCAGGGACTCCACAGGCCAAATCAACCCACTTGGCGGGCTGGATCCAGCCTGGAGAGGCCCTTTTGCCCACCTCTGAGCTAGACACCTGGGAAATGATCATTGACTATTGGGGATATTTGCTACTAGCAGTCACAGGTTAACTACATGCCATTGTAGGCAGTCTCATTATACTGTACCTTACATAAGTTTATCAAGTTCAGGCTTGAAGAGATTTAGGTTTTTTTGGCCCCCACTGTTTTGCCACATACTATTCTCCTGAGAAGGCTGTTCCAGAACATTACTCTGGTGGTTAGAAACCTTCATCTAATTAAAAGCCTAAGCATCTTAATGGCCACTTTATTTACATTTGTTCTTGTGTCAACATCGGTGCTGAACTAAAATAACTCCCCTCTCTCCCCTGGTTTTTCTCCCTCTAATGTATTTATAGAGAGCAGTCAAATCCCCCCTAAGCCTTCCTTTGTTTAGGCTAAACAAATCAAGCATCTTGCGTCTCCTCTCATAAGTAGGGATTTTCTTTCTTTTGATTATCCTAGAAGTCTTCCTCTTGCACCTATTCCAGTTTGAATTAATCTTTCTTAAACATGGGAGACCAGAATTGCATGCAGTATTTCAGATGAGGTCTCACCAGTACCATGTTTAATAGTAACAACACTTTCTTTTCCTCTGGACAGTTACATTTGGTGACAGTCAAGTTTTCATATCCTGCACCATGAACAAAGGACTAGAGCAGCCAGATTTGGGGAGTGTGCTAGGAAGTTTGAGATATGGGTGGTTGGAATCAGGCCTATATGCCGTAGTGTAGACATTGGAGATCCAGGTTGAAACTGACAATTCAACAATTCCTAACCTAGGTTAACCTCAAGCCCTAAGTAAACAAATCCAGAGTTTGTTAACACATGTTCTACTATTGGTGTAGTCATACCCAGAAAGTACTTTTTAAGCAAACTGACTTAAAATTCACAATAAGTGCAGTATTTTAATTGCAAGTGGAATATTTTATGTTAGTTAATACAGTGATTTTCAAACTTTGTTTCTCATTAACCTGTTGAAGAAAATCATAGATGCCTGCAACCCAACATAATTTGACTAGAGTCTGGGCTCCAGGGTGTGGCTGAGGATGAGAGCTTTGGGGTATAGGAAAGGTCTCTGGCTTTGTGGGGTGGGGGAGTCAGGGCTGGGACAAGAAGGGCTTACCTTGAACAGCTTCCTGCCAGCAATGCAGCGGGGATGCTAAGGCAGGCTTCCTGCCTCTCCTGCACCACAGCCCATGCTGCTCCCAGAAGCAGCCAGCAGCAGGTTTCCAGCCAAAAGGAGTGTGGAGCTAGTGCTTGGGTTGGGGTCATGTGAGGAGCCCTGTGCATTCTTCCTCTCCCCGCTCCTAGGAGCCGTGCCTGCTGCCAGCCACTTTTAGGGTCTGGCACACTCTGCAGTGCCAGGACAGGCATCCCCACTGGTCACCTGATCACCCTGCAGCAGTGAGACCCAGTGCCTGACATTCTATGTCCCAGTACTGGGTTGAGACCTGTAGTTTGAAAACCGCTGAATTTACAGATATTTGAGCTGAATCAGCACTGATAATTTTTTAGTGGCTGATCTACTTTAAATAGCTAGACTCACCAGTAATGGGTTTGTTGCAGGCTGCACACTTCTGTGCATAAAGCTTGTTGAAGCAGTCTAGGCAGTATGGATAATCATCTCTGGAAATAAATCGTTGCCCAGACAGTTGCTGCTTACATCCAGCACACAGAAAGCATTCTTTGTGCCATGGCTGGTCATGGTAGGTCACTCCACCAGTTGTTATCACCTGATGCAGCAACAAAAAGCAAATAAACAAAGGAATGAAAGCATGAATCCATAGCATTCAGCTGCAAAATCAAAATGTTCTCTTATTTGCACAATTCTGATAACATGTGAAGGGTAGTCTAAAGTAGGAATTCCCAAGGTGTACGTGGGTTTTTTTTTTAAATAAATCCTCCTACTTCTTTCCTCTCTGCAGTTTGGATTTTAATCTTGACTGAGTAGGACTGACATGAATATGCAGCTGCATAAATTATTCATGTTGGTTCCATAGCAGATACTGTAACATCTGCACCTCATCATCTTTAGTGTATTTATTCTTACTAAGGATGTTAAGTATTGGGTAATTGATTAATCGAATAGTCGATGCATTTTTGCTTCGATTAGTTGATAGGGCGCCTCCGCCTTTGAAGTATAGGGCTGTTGCTACACTTCAAAGGTGAAAACACTGAAGCTCGGGGTCAGCTGAGGACTCCTCCAATGACCCCAGATTCTGCCCGGCACTGCTGCTTTGAAACACCGCCATGGCGTTTCAAAGCGGCAGTGCCGCATGAAGTCCTTGGTCAGTGGGGGAGCCCCCAGCTGATCCCAGGCTACGCATGACACTACCACTTTGAAATGCCAGGCTCCATGCAGCATTCAAAGCGGCAGCATTGCATGGAGCCCGGGGTCAGTTGGGCTCCCTGCGATGCTGCTGCTTTGAAATGCTGGGCTTCCCACAACATTCAAAGCACCAGTGCTCCGCACAAAGCCCAGGGTCCGTTGGGGACTCCTTAGTTGATCCCAGGCTCCACGCAGCCTTTGAAATGCCACGAGGAGCCTAACGCATTCAAAGTGGCAGCGCTGCATGGAGCAGCTGACCCCGGGCTCCGTGTGACACTGCCACTTTGAAGTACCCCTCTCTTTTCCCCCCCTTGCTGCTTCTATCTGATAGAGGCAGCAAGTGGGGGCGGGAAGTGTCTAGTCGACTAGTCCTTCACATCTCTAATTCTTACAACCCCTTGTGAAGTAGGAAAGAACTGTTATCCCCATTTTACCGATGAGGAACTGATACACTGACACTAAGTGGCTTGTCTAAGTCCACACAAGAAATATGTAAAACCAGGAAATAGAAACCTGGTTCTCTAACTCCCAGGCTAGTACCATAATCACTGGATCATCCCTCCTACTTAGAACATAAACTCTTCAGGACAGGGAATATCTCTAAGAATATGTCTACACTGCAGCTGGAAAGGGTGATTTCTAACCCAAGTAGACAGTAGGGATGTCATAGTGTAGTCAAACACCCAATGAGGCATAGTAGTGCAGCGGCAGGGGAAGCTGCCGTGGAACAGCCTCTGTCCTTGGTGAGCCCAGGCTTACCGTGGATGAAGGCTGCTTTTTGGGATGCCAGCGCATCTCGTGTCTGCGGGGAGCTCAGACCCTCCACAGACAGGGGCTGCTGCTACCCCATGCTGCTGCCTCTAATAGAGGCAGCAGCAATGGGCAGAGGGATGGGATAGGTGGCTCTCCCTTGTACCAGCCTCCCCTCACTGTGTCTGTGTCTATATCAGAGGCAGCAGCACGGAACAGCAAGCAGAAGGCTGCCTGTGTGGGGAGCTGGTTTTTAAATTGGCTCCCCTCATGGACCAGCTCCCAACTGCCACCCTACGCTGCTGCCTCTGATACAGAGGCAGTAGTGCAGAGTCGCAGGGGCCTCCATGCAAGTGGAGCTAGGAGTGCACTGGCTGCCAGCCCAGCCGCCAGGGACTATCGTATAGTTGTGTAACTATAATATTTGATGTGGTTATACATCTATTCAATTACTCGTTAACATCGCTAGTAGATAGACTTGAACTAGCTCTGCTCAAGCTGGGTGGCTAAGGATAGCACTGTGGACATTGTGTCTCATGCTAACTGCGCAAGTCCAACCCTGCCTGAGCTCCTGTGGCTAGCCTGAACGCCTGTCCGCACTACTTTTTGTAGCACACTTGCTCAAGCAGAGCTAGGGCAAGTTTATCTACATTGGTTGAGAATCACACTTCTTAGATGCAGTGTAGACATACCCTCATGTACTGTGCTTAAACAATGGGACCACTTCTTGACTCTATGGTGCTACTGTAATACCAATAATTAAGAACAGCAGAAGAAATTAGGCCTCTAAATATGGAAGATGGTAGAATTCTATTAATTACTGGCTCATTTTCAACTTTTCAGCAACTCTTGGGTAACTTTTTAAATGTTTTCAAAAATATTGTATTTTAACTTAGTAAGAAGTAGCCAGGGTATGTCTACACTGCACTCTAAAATCAAAATAAGATATGCAATTTGCGTATCTTATTTCAATTTTATTTTGAAATAGCCTATTTAGAAATTTGACACGTATACACAGCGCCAAATTTCTAAATAAAGCACTATTTTGAGACATCCCTTATTGTTCATGAAATGAGGTTTACAGGGATGCCGAAATAGTGTGTCCATTATTTAAAAAATTATTTCGAAAGAGTGGATACGTTCCTTGGGTGTGGGGTAGCTATTTTAGGATACCTTGCAGTCTAGATGTACCCACGGTCTAAGTAAGCATTGTGGTAAAACATTCTTATGCCCTTAGGAGAGCAAAACATAGTGGGCTCGTCTACACTGGCCCCTTTTCCGGAAGGGGCATGTAAATTTCACCTATCGTAGTAGGGAAATCCGCGGGGGATTTAAATATCCCCCGCAGCATTTAAATAAAAATGTCTGCCGCTTTTTTCCGGCTTTTAAAAAAGCCGGAAAAGAGCGTCTACACTGGCCCCGATCCTCCGGAAAAAGCGCCCTTTTCCAGAGGCTCTTATTCCTACTTCAAAGTAGCCAGTATGATCTTCCATTCTGCTATACCAGTTATCCTCCTTTGTTCTTGTATGTTACTATCAACTCTAACTTTGCTCTTAGATTAGCTCCCTTGCTGACATCCTATGAAAAGCTCATTTGTATGCTCTGTGCCCTTCCTGCTGTTTCATGTAAATTCAGATTTAAACCTCTATGTGTCTATAATGCTTGGTGTTTACAGAGATTATTTTAACCTTGTAGTTTCTGTAATCAGACTTTGCCTATAGTATCCTAATGTACATAATGTTTTATCTTTGGCTTCCTTGTCCAGAATTGCATTAAAACGAGCGTAGTAGTGTCTTGTAGAGCTCTAGCTCTTCCCTTTAGTTATGTTTGGTTAATTACCTTCTTGCAGGCATAGCAGTGGCGTGCAAACTGCTTCTCAAAACATGGCACACAATAATTCTCATTGTCTTTGGTAACCAAAGGCTTTGTTCCTAAAGGCTGCCGGCAGTACTGACAAACAAAACAAGTTTCATGCCAGCAATTTCCTTTAAATTCCATTTTACGAGAACCTGAAAACCAATAAAAGCATGTGAGTGCCACTGAAGTTAAGGGATCACCTTGCAGAAGGACAAGATTCCCTCATCCAGATGAACTTGCATCTGACTTTGTTGAGCCCCTGACTACCATTGCACCCCACATCCAATTCAACTACAAAGTCATAATCCATACCCACATCCACATACTATAATGCTTCTTCCCTCCTTTTCCTCTGCTGGTGCCTCAGTGCTGAGAGAGCAGGGGCCTCTTATTGTCTCCTAGAGAACCCCTTGTAGGGGAGGAGGAGACATGTTCCAACAGCAGGCCATGCCTCTCCTCTCTGCAAGGGAGTACACCCACGTTCTGAATGGAGGGAGAAGCTGCAAAATCACATCATAGAGTTGGTGTTTCCCCTGGGTAAGAGAACAGGCCTTGCTGTCCTGACCTATTAGGGCTGATCATAGTGACCAGAAAAAATAAGAGGTGTTAACCGTGTCCAAGACAGAAACAGACAAGCGTCACCTTGTCACCTGCCAGCGTGCTTTAACTTTTCTCTACTATCCTCAAATGGAGCAGGGACTAATAGCACTCATGCCATTTCTTTTTGCCAGACTATGGGACAGTTTATAGTTTGGAGATGTAAGTATTAAAGGACAATAATTGGTAAGGCCACTAAAATCAGGCCTGGTCTACACCTAAAATGTGGCTGAACATAGCTACATCACTCCAGATGTACAAAATTATACACCCTGATAGATGTAGCTCAGCCGACCTACTCATTGGCGTACACATGACTAGGTTGATGGAAGAACACATCTATCAACTGAGCTGCTCAAGGAGGTGTGAGTTAGCACAGCCACAGAAAAACTCGTCTCTAATGTGTGTCTGCATTATAGGGTCCTACAGGCATAGCTACAGCTCTGTTGCTAGATGGTAGTAGAGACAAGCCCTTAGACATCATCCTTGTCAGGGAGGGATAGCTCAGTGGTTTGAGCATTGGCCTGCTAAACCCAGGGTTGTCAGTTCAATCCTTGCAGAGGCCATTTAGGGATTTGGGGCAAAAATTCATCAGGGATAGTACTTGGTCCTGCTGTGAAGGCAAGGGACTGGACTCGATGACCTTTCAAGGTCCCTTCCAGTTCTAGGAGATAGGCAATCTCCATTAATTTTAATTTTTTTTTTAAAATTTTACAGTAGGTGCTTGTCTACACACAAGTGGTACCCTCTTAACTATACCGTTGGAGTTAAAGAAGTACAACACCCCTGTACACCCAATTATATTAGTATAAAACATATGGGGGTATAGCTACACTTGGGAGATAAACCAAAACAGTAAATAAAACAAAACAAAACACAGTGTTTGGTAAATTAAAAATCTTGAAAACAATTTTGAGAAACTTAGTCTGATAAAAATGTAAGTTAAACTAATCATCACAAATGATTGACAATAATATCTTGACAATATTTTGAAGAAAAGTTTTCATCTTCGAAGAAATCATGATACAGCAACAAAAATTTCCTCACATAAAACAAAGCAAACAAACTGTAACCAGGTCTGATCTCTGAAGGTCTAAATGACACAATGGAAAAATACAGATAGCAGCATTCTCTACACTCATATTAGCACTCCTACTGTAGTCAGTCTAATGGTAGATTTCCTGAGAATTGCAAGTGTAGGCAATGTCAGTGAGCCTATGTGGGAAAATCTGAGTCTGTTTCAAGATTGTAATATTATTCCTTGCAGGTTTAATATAATTACACGTGCAATGTTAAATCTTAAAATATGAGCATGCATCTGCCTTCCCCCACCTCATTAACTGCCAGAAGGATTAAAAGAGGGGAAGATAGTCCCCTGCATGCTGTACTGAAAGACAGGGAATTATGCTCTGCTTGTAGCTTAACTATGCAAGTGCTTGCATTTAATTAAAAGTGCAATATAATCGTTTCATCGAGTTAGTGAATAGCCCTTGTTAACTTACCAGGCATAATGGCCTTCTGACAGTGGACGCACTTTGATGAATACTCATTAGAATAACAGTGAGTACACAGCAAGAGCTCATCCTTGGCAGCAAAAGGCTTTTCCACCAAAGAGTGATTGCATTTGGCACACTTGAAGCACGCTGCATGCCAGTGGCGGCCTTTATAGGAGAGATCCTTTGAGAGAGTAATACATGTTAATGGAAAGCATTGGTTTACTCCACCACAACCCCACACTTTAAAAAAAAAAAAAGACTAAACAAAAAGCACTTGGAGAGTGACTGGACCAATGGCTTGTGCCTTTAGCTGGAAAATAATTGTCAAAGATGACAAATAAAATCTATCCAGAGTGAAAAGATGGGCAGGATATTCTGTAGTTCACTTTTATTGACCACAAAGAGCTCCTTTGCTCAGGCCATAGCTGTTCCTCCATGGCAGGATTACTTAGTATTTTAAAGATGACAGTCACAGGAAACAAATGGAGTTCATCCCTTTAATAAAAACCACTAGCATTTTTTCTTTCTTTCAAGGTCTCTACATGAAAAATGCAGACCTTTTTTTTAAAAAAACCATTTTTTCCCCCTGAAATACTCTATGGGTAACTAAAGAACTCAAAGGATTATGGCCTCTCAGATAACAAGCAAGTGAAACCTGCTTAAATGATGGGGGAAGCAACCTTTATGCAGACTACCCTTTGTGTTTGTTTTTTAATCTTAGAAATATGAGGCATGTTAAACTTTATCTTCCTTGTTCTTAATCAAACAAACTGAAAATCTTGTTGTATATTTTCTTAGCTTTCTTAGTGCTTAAGCATGTTGAATCATTTACAAATATCTGTCTTTAAATCTCTTTAGAGTGTGATTGAGTTAAATAGGTATTAACAAAAAACCCAAACAACTAAACAGCAACAAATCCTGTAGGAAAATAAATCAAATACTTCCAGATCTTCTTTCTAATGAAGGTAGTACAAAGAAGCACAAATGGGTCTTTTATTGACTGTATAAGTCCCCCTTAAAGTAATAAAAGGGGAAATAAAATACATAAGACTTAATTTTAAGAAGTGCTGAACACCTACCATTTTCTCTGGTTGCCTATATAACAAAAGCTATTGTCAAAGAGTAGCCTGGGGCAAAAATATAGAAAGGAGAGAGAAAGAAGGCAGGGGGGTGGCCCTTTAATTCTGTGAGGAACCACCAATTGTCATCCTAAAGGGGCAATTTTTTTGGCTGATTGTTGTGTGTTGTATCCTCTTCACTTCACTCCTATTATATTTTCATCCTGGCTTTTCCTGTGTCTCAGGCCTGCACCACATCTCAAACTTAGGCCAACCTAGCTGTGTAGCTCAGGGTGAAAAATTCACAACAATGACAAACTTTCTGTTAAGGCAACTTAAGTCCCATTGTGGAATTCTTCCAGCCATCTAGCTACCTCCTCTCAAGTGGGTGGATTTGCTACAGTGAGGAAAAACCCATTCTGTTTCTGAAGCAGATGTCAATAGTGCTACAGTGTAATTGTGCTGCTGTAGTGCTTGTAAAGTAGATACTTCATAGTCTTCTGGAATGTGATTCAGCTATCCATCTAGGGGCCAAAATAGTTGGCATGAAATGATGCTGTAACTTAGTTGGTTTTAATTTTAAATTTTGGATCAGACAGGTAGGTTGGGCTTCTGAACACAGAGGCTGTGTCTAGACTGGCAAGTTTTTCCGCAAAAGCTTGTGAGCTGTCTACACTGGCCACTTGAATTTCCGCAAGAACACTGACATTCTCATGTAAGAAATCAGTGCTTCTTGCAGAAATACTATGCTGCTCCCATTCGGGCAAAAGTCCTTTTGCGCAAAAGGGCCAGTGTAGAAGCTCAGATATGTTGTGCGCAAAAAAGCCCCGATTGTGAAAATGGCGATTTTTGCACAAAAGCGCGTTTAGATTGGCCACAGATGCTGTTGCGCAAAAGCATCCATGCCAATCTGGACACACTTTTCCGCAAATGCTTTTAACGGAAAAGCTTTTCCATTAAAAGCATTTGCGGAAAATCATGCCTGTCTAGATGTAGCCAGAGGGGTTTTTTGGGTCACATGGATGAGTCTGCTGCTGAAAATGCTGGTCACAGAGTTTTGGGGCAGTTTTCTGCCCAAACCAGCAGTTTTCCCTTGATAATTGCCATATGATACACAGCTGTGCTCTATCTTTTATCTCCATTGGGACCACTGACCTCTTCCCTGGAGAGCACAGATCCTGCCCTCCATTATCCTCTGGCACTGCTAATGTAGCAGGGCCATAAAACCACCAGATGCAGTCATCTAGGAATCCTCCCAGCCAATGTAGGGCATTTCGCCAGGGTGATCGAACACCTCTAGGTTATCTGCTTCATTTGTGATTTCAAATGTCTTAATTTGCATCCCTCTCTCAAAAGAGGATGCAAGTGTAGACATGCCTTAACAGATTACTTTACTTAAGAGCCTTTGGTGAAAGACCTTGTCAAAGATTTTCTGAAAAATCTACACATACTATATCCACTGGATCCCCTTGTCCACACGCCACAAAGATTTTTAGTAGATTAATGAAGTATGATTTCCCCTTAGAAAAATCCTCTTGACTCTTCCCCAACAAGTTATGTTCATCTACTTGTCTGACCATTTTGCTTTTTCACTATAATTTCAACCAGTTTGTCTGCTACTGAAGTCAGAATTATTGGCCTGTAGTTGCTGGGATCACCTCTCGAGTCCTTTTTAAAAATTGCCATCATTTTAGTTATCCTCCAGTCATTTGATACAGAAGCTGATTTGAATGCTAGGTTACAAACTATAGTTAGTTCTGCAATTTCACATTGGAGTTCCTTCATAACTCCTTAGGTGACTACCATCTGGCTAATGCGATTTGTTACTGTTTAGTTTATCAATTTGTTCTAAACCCTCCTCTCACACCACCTCACTGTGGGACAGTTCCTTAGATTTCTCACCTAAAAAGAATGGCTCAGGTTTGGGAATCTTTGGTGTCATTAAAGTTTCCATGCAGCTTACAAGGATTTCATTTTTATCACTCTACCTTTTAACTTCTGTTTAACTAACTTCTTCACTTTTTGTGTAGTCCCCCTTTCTGAAATTAAATGCGAGGGTTGGGCTAGTATGGTCAGTGATGCTGACGGACTTGCCGGGTAGGCCTGACACATAGTAGTAGTTATATAGGCTTTGTTTTATAGCTTTGTTTTATATAGTTACATAGATTTTGTTTCATAATTTTTTTATAGCTGCTGCTAGGTATCAAAATATATTCTGCCTTTTCTCCCTTTGGGTGGAAGGGGTTAGGATAGGACTAGGCTCCCCCAAGCAGTCCTCAGCACTGCCTAGAGCATGCTGTGCCTCCCCTCATACCAGTCCTTCCGTGCTACCTGGAGTGCTCCACCTATGTCTCTGGTGGAGATTCAAATGACCTGCAGTAGCAGCAGCCAAGAGCCCCAGGCCAGGTAGTTGCCCCTTTGCTCCCCTCCATCAGTGGGCCTGGTTGTGTAGTTTTCCTCACCACAGGAATTTTAAATTTAATTATATTATGGTTGCTATTACCAAGCAATCTAGCTCTTAGACCAGATCTTGTGCTGCACTTAGGACTAACTAAAAAATTACCTGTCTTCTTGTAGGTTCCCAGATCAGCTCCAAGAAGCCTCAGTTCTCATATGATTCCAAACTCAGCTCTCCTGCTGAGCAGAGCACCACCCTGTTTCCTCAAACGTTGTGAATATATCTGGTTTGTGGTACAAGTGAGCCTGGGAAAATTTTTATGTTTTGAAACCATGTGAAACATGGGTGCATTGATAGTCTCCCTTGAAGTTTCCGGGTTCATTTGAATTTAAAACTCAAAGTGAAATGCAGGGGTTGTGAGTCAGAACTAAAGGGGAAAAGCTGTCAGCTGACAACTAACTGCACCTACTCAGGATATCACAGTTCTGATTAAAGTTCTGCAAGTTGTCTAGATTCAAGGAAAGCAGAGTCCAGAAAGCTGAAGTTTGTTCTGTCTGATTGTGTCTAACATGGAGATTGCCTTTTTGAGACAAGCCAGGTGGTGTGAGATAAACAAGAAATTAAGCTGTCATATTGCAAGTAAGATATTTTAATCAAAATATGCCCTCTGAAGGCATCTTGTTTACGAAGACAGACATTACATAAAAATGATAAATATTGTTCCCTTCCCGCTGAACTCCTGTGTGTTGACTAAACATTTATAATAAAACCAATTTACAGACAAAGTGAAGTTGTTTTTCCCTGGACATCCCTTGGAAGCATTTATTTTACAGTTTCCTGTGATCTTATCTATTGAAGTACAGGGACAGCAAGAGAGGGTAGAGTAGGGGGAGAGTGCGAGATTGCAACTAGTGAGAGTGCTAGAGGGAAAGAAAAAGTTAAACCAGTGTTTCTCAAAGTGGTCCATGGACCCATTCTAAGAAAGCTGCTACCAGGTGCTCCAGTTTGTTTACTTACTGGCAAAAGGCGAACCACAGCGAATGAGAGCCTTGAAGCTGCGTGGCTGTGGAACCGGTAAGTAGACAAACCAGAGTGGCCTGGTAGCTGCTTTCTTAGAGTGAGGTCCACGGACCACGTTGAGAAACACTGAGATAGTTAAACAACCCAAGATATTTCTTTACAATCACCAACCCTTTTTGCCACAACAGGAATGACACTCACCCAAGCAAACACACAACCCCAAAAGAGACTTTCTTATTGCTATTTGATTTTATATGGAAGTCACTCAGTCCTAAAATACAGGACAGAGGTATAAAACCGTAACATTGATAAATAAAGTACTGCTATTCACTGGAAGTTGAGGATACTACAAAATATTGTGGAAGTGAATTAAATAGTTTGGTTGCTTTCTTGGTGGATCCTCTCCCTAGTATCACCAACCAAAATCTGTACAGTCTTTACACAGGAAGCTAACCAGCAGTGAACGGTGGAATTGGTCACTGAATCCACACAAGTGTAGCTCCTATGGTTCCTGCCCCAAAGCTTCCTTCTGCAGCAGCATATTACCAGACAGCATGGAACCATCCCCTGCCCTAGTATACAGGGATGCAGAAGCTCCATCTCACATTAGCACAACAGCTAAATCCAGCTTTGTGCAGAGCTTCTGTATTCATTTTTGGCACAGAAAACCTTGGGTGGAATCCACCCCTAAAGAGGCAGATCTTATACTCTGTGATTTAACAATCGCAATAAATACATAAAACTGAGACCAAAATAAATGCTTACCTTGGCATCACATTCAATGGGCTTCTTGCATTCTTCACAGGAGTTAGCAAAGAGGTCATCATAGCACGTAACACAGTAAGAATGCTCTTCTCTCAGTGCATACCTCCTGCCAAGAAGGGATTCCATGCAGTAATGGCAGTGATTACTGGTCATTTTTGGGGGGTTCTTTAACTGTTTTGAGAAGAAGGAAGATTAATACATAAGATGAATGGAAGAGTTTAGGCCCCAACAAACAATATGCAGTATGCAGGGATGCAGAAGCTCCATCTCACATCTGTGGCCACTAATGCATTATTGGTGCAATTTAGAGCAACGATTCCCCGGTTACTTGCTGTGGTTGGGGTTCCTAATGTTGGAGCCCTTTGGCAACAAAATGGCAGTCTTTAGCAATGAGTAATATTCAGAAATGGGTTGCCTTCATAAAACCAAACAAGAAGATTGACTCAGTTTAAATCTGTTAGTATTTACACTGATAGCTCTAGTGCCTGAAATTTCCACTATTAGAACCAAAACCAATCTGGCAAATATACATTTCTTATCTAAGACCACTTTACTCCTAGAAAAGAACTATTCTGCCAAAAAAAAAAAGGAATAAACCTTAGCATTTTCTCGGTAGAATTTCAGTCATAAAAAAGATCCAGCAGACATAAAAAAAGATGAAACATGCACTGGATATTGAATGTAACTTGGGATTTCAAAAATACATGGAGGAAATCAATCAGAAGTTTGCAAGTGAGCACACTGGCCATAGAGGATTTGAATTCAGAAGAAAATAGGTGAAACATGAAGACACAAAGCCTTATACAGTAAGTAACTAGGTTTGTGAGCTTCCCAAGTCACCAAACCACACTGGAGAAAATGTATGTTATCCAGTACATTGTGAAGAGTAAATTATCCAGAAAAATCATACTATGTGGACAAAAACTTTTCTGAAATCAAACTGACTGAATATTTAAATAAGCCAAAGAAAAAGTAGGTGTGTGCCAAAATTTTCAGACTTCTCCTCACCAACAGATCTCCAGAATGTTGCCAATTTCCTTGTCAGCTCCTTTCTTTCTGGAATATGTTTTCCTTTTGGAAACCCTATCCCCACCATGGATGGAAGATGGACAAGGAACCACTGGTTAGCTGGTCTACACTGTGGAGCTTATCTTTGTAATACTAAACTCAGGCTATGTCTACACTGCCATTTTTTTTTTGGCAGAAGATATGCAAATCATGCTCTCATTTGTATATCTTCTGCCGATCCTTTTTGCAGAAGAGGTTTTGCCACTAAAAAGCTTACTGTAGATGGGGTCATTTGTTAGAAAAAAGCCTTTTTTGCAAGATCCTGTAAACCTCATTTTTTGAGGAATAAGAGATCTTGCGAAAAAGGTTTTTTTTTCTGACAAATGGCTGCATCTACACGGGACTTTTTAATGGCAAAACCTCTTCTGCAAAAAGGATCGGCAGAAGATATGCAAATGAGAGCATGATTTGCATATCTTATGCCCAAAAAACGGCAGTGTAGACATAGCCTCAGAGTATTTAGTATGTGCAGGGAGATTTGAGTAGCTTTCTTCTCTTGGATATCCTAAGAAAAAGGGAGAGAGGGATAAATCAGGTATAACCAACATAAACTCTGAATCAGACTAAGCTCTCTTTTGTTATTGTTGGAAGTGATTAGTCTTTTGTTTTTCTGAGATGCAACTGTATTGCCAGGTTCCTCTCAGAATGTAACTTGGAACATGCTAGCATACTGTGAGAAAAAATGATATTTCCATATCAACCAGATGCAGGAAATACCATCAATTTTCTGAGCACCCAATCTCATGCATTCCCCTTCCCTCAGTTTTACAAGGCAAAGAGAGCTTTAATAAGCCTAGAAATTTGGTGTCTGAAACTGATTCTTTTGAGGCTTGTGAGAAAGGAATCTTATTTCAGTCTTGTTACTGCTTGTTGGATCAGCAACCTTTTGCTAAAATTGGGTCATGGTTCCTGGGAACAAGGGAAACCGCCTCCAAAAGGTTCACAGTGAAGCAAAACTCATAGACATCTGCTGGACTCATTAGGCTGCACATTTGAATAGCTCATAAGTTAGGGTCATTCTGCAGTTACTGTCAACAACCATAGTTACAGATGATTTAAGAAACACTAGATCTCAAAACGTATTTACATCTCATTGACTTTGGGCAGCTATAACTGAACTCTTGTACGTATAAAGCAAAGAGTATGTTACAACTTAGCTGAACAGGCTGCAAAGGGTGAAAGTAGCAAAGAAAAGAATCAAAAGGAATAACATTTGAGGAAGCCAGTAACTTTAAAACTAGATTAGTTCTATTCTGTCATGCTCACACCTAATCTTTCTCCTGCAACCACTGTACAGCTCATATCCAGACTGCAGCTTTACAGAAGCACTACAGTTTTTTCTTCCTTCGTGAGGACTATTAGACATAATACAAAAGAATATTTGAAACTATAAGAAAGCATGACAATCTCCTCACTACAGTAAACTCAAAGCATAGAACTCTGTTTTTATTCTGTTCCCTGAGGGTTGTGGCATGATTGTGAAGAATAAGTAGGGGAGGAAGATGGAATGCTTATCTTAAACCAAAAATAATGGCTTGTTCGTTTGGCACAAGCTGTGGAAAACTTGTTGTCCTTGTGTGTTGAAAACATTTTTAGTTGAGCTGATTTACTATCTTTCTAACCACACTAAATCATTGCACTAGCCAGTACAGGATGCAGTAAAAAAGTCAAATGATCTGTAACTCAAATCAGTGGGAATCAAGTGCTCCTTTACTAATATTTCAGTTTTATTGTCTATCCTGTTCTGGGGTTATAATTATAACAGGAGTTTGCATCTGGACTTCCACATACTTAGGTTCCACCTATTTTTAGCACAGCAAACAACAATTAGACTAAGCAGACTGCCATGTTGTAAGTTTTTGAGCTATATAATCTGTTTTCATGTAGTGCATCCTGTGACAGTTGCACTAACAATACCTTTGCAATCAAATTTTGGGGAGTGGGAATGACTCTGTGGATAATGGCAGGAGTTTATTTATTACCATCTCTGGACACATGTCAGTCAACACATCACAGATTCCAATCTACACACCTCTCCAACCAAACACAAAATATGTTTTGCCTTTTGCCATTAATATGATCAAAACATATGAGATATAATTATCTTTAGTACTCACAGCAAAAATACTATTAATATCATTTACCAGATTCTCAGCTGCTAAACACAACTTGGACCTTGTGGGTCTGGCTCAAAATGCAATTGAATTTTTATTTAGGTATTTAATTTGATATTAATAACTAAGTATTTAATAGGACTTCCAGCTAATTTAGGCCAGAAGGCAATAAATAATGTCCCAAGAAAAATCATAGCTGTAGATACCTGATCAAAAGGGTTTCTGAGTTGAGGAATACTTAACTCTCAAAGCTAAAACTATGGAAAATGTAAGAAAATGAAGAAAGACTTGTCTGGATCACCAGAATTTACAATAGTTTAAGTGTGATTTTCATAAAGTATAGCCCTAGTTCTGTGTTCACTTGGGCTGTTTCTTTTGCACTAACCATTACTGGGTATTTTCACAAACATATGACTCTAAATGGCCATCTTATGCATAAAGTCTCCCTTTTCACATACCTTTATGGGATGTGTCACTGCAAATGTAGGTGTGCAAAGTAATGTTGACCCAGTGTTATGAAATTCTTTGATCTTTCAATGCCTATTCTTCTGTTAGTTCAAATGCCTGACTTCCACTAAAATTAATAGGAGTGACATAGGATATTGTTATAATTTACATAAAATGAACGAAAGTTCAAGAAAATATAAAATCTGTCATCTGATATACTCATACCACTAGACTCAGACACACACAAACATGCACACTGTGGTAACTGGGCACAGGGCGACTATAGAGTCCCCAATAAGGCAAAAGTTAGTGAAAATTAGTTAATCTTCCCTTACCTCTTGCACCATGCTTGGGCAGGATATGCCTGTGGAGTGGTAGGCCTGCATACACAAGGACATGGGATTGGGTTGAGCCTCAGTAAGAGAGGTAGTTTGTTACTTGTTTTTGTTTGAGTCACAGCTATGCACTTCTGAAGTAAGCCCTTACTTTATTATATGTTTGATTTGCTTCTGCTAAGTCCATTGGGCTTTCGAAGGAATAAGAGAGCATGCACTGATGAGCTACTAATGCACACCTGCAGTGCTTTGTGAAGCATAATGCCCACTGACATAATTTCAGTCATGTGCAAAATGCTATGAATGCACATTGGTTCAACTAAATGACATTCTGCTATTAAGTTACTGTAAAAAGTAAAATCCCTACTTCTTCAAGTACAGGTCTACTGGTTATTTAGGGTTAATCTATGCTGTAAATGTCTCTCTCAGCTACTTATTTGGCACCCATCACCTTAGTATTTTAGTGTGTTTATCATAATATACCTGTCATGTAGTCAATTAATCTTAGTCCTATTATGCAGGTGGCAATTTAATATATAGGAGGATGTAATCTGCTTTAACTACACACAAGCAGGGACTTAAACCCAGGTATCCAAAGTACAAAGCTCAAGTTCTAACTATTAGACCATCCTTTCCACAATAAGTCAGAGATACACTTTGTGGGTGGATATGTTGCTGTCACCATTTTCCGTATCTGCTTTGGAAAATGGTGACAGCAATATATCCCCCACAAACAGAAGGGTCCACATCTTGCAGACTTTTCTCAAACAAACCTCTCTTATGTCTACACTGCCAGGTTTTTTGGGCAGAAGATATGCAAATCGTGCTCTCATTTGCATATCTTCTGCCGATCCTTTTTGCGGAAGAGGTTTTTGCTAATAAAAAGCCCCATGTAAACGGGGCCATTTGTTGGGAAAAAACCCTCTTGCGCAAGATCCTGTAAACCTCATTTTTTGAGGAATAAAGGATCTTGCAAAAAAGAGTTTTTTTCCCAACTTATGGCCTCATCTACATGGGGCTTTCTAGCAGCAAAACCTCTTCTGCAAAAAGGATTGGCAGAAGATATGCAAATGAGATGATTTGCATATCTTCTGCCAAAAAAAAATGGCAGTGTAAACATAGCCTGTCAGTGAGGATAATAAGAGTTTGCTTGACTAAGGACTTCAGGAAATAGCCCTTGCTAAACTGATACCATGTTTGGATATAAAGCTGGAATGGCATGGCAAAGAAATGACAAAATTTGCAAATCTTATGACTAGCTCTGGAAGATCTTTGTGAAATACTTTTACCATAAGACAACACAAAAAAATAATGAAAATCTGTCTCCCTAAACCATCCCTTGCCTCTGTCAATAAATAAATAATGTTATGAGCATCGTGTAGTTGAAATGGAATATTTTTCTGATGCTTTGATCCTAATCTCTTCAGAAATATGTTTACTGGAAGTTAGCTGGAAGCTAGACTTCGTGTTTTGGGAGGTCAGCTTAGAAGTCTCTGGAGAGCTGATGTTATGCACCCTCATGGAATGAAATGCTGACTCCAGGATTCCATCTGGTTACTTGTTTCCAAGACACAGTAAAATGTTGAATTTTATGTATTTATTGGATAAAATTAGGCTTTTTTTTAGCTATTATGAGGACAAAAATAAAATGCAGTTGATTTTCATTTACAGAACAGCACATACAATGTAAGCGACAGTATTAAGAACTGTAGCTCTCGTATAGCTTAAATGAGGGTACAGAGGAGTTACTATGGTAACAAGGATGCAGCTTTTGGGTTAGAGTTGAGAATGTAGTCAGAGTACAAATTAAAAAGCTGGTGAAAGCAGGACACAATTTGTACTTCTGGATTCTTGGCTCCATGGGTTGTGCCCACGAAAGCTCATGAAACTATCTACATTTTTTGTTAGTCTTTAAGGTGCTGCAGGATCATTTGTTGTTTTTTAATGATGTTCTGCCAACAGTTTCAACAGAAAGTAAAACACAACAAATGCATGCCTCAGAATTTCTGCATAGTTGAAATGTTCTATGTAAAGTGCAGGGACTTACAAGTCCAAAAATCTTGTTGAGTTAAAGGGAAGTCATATATGCACTAACTGGGAGTTTTCTGAGGCCTATCCAAATCTGGATAGTAAAGAACAATAGTAAGCAACCTGCGGCCCATAGGCCACATGCGGTCCTCCTTTGTGGCCTATGAGACATTTTGTTTACTGTTGGTCATACGCAGGGTTGCTAGATTCTGTTGGCTTCCATTTGCTCAGGTTTTTTTCCTACTGGTATTAATAAAGTCACATGCATATAAAGCAAGGGCACATGAAGTGAGGTGCGTTCTGATTGCACACAGCATTGAGTATGAGCACCATGCTGCATCCAGTCAAAGTGCTGCTATGGTTCAATCAGCATACCCCACGAATTCTAGGTATGCAAGCAGAGTTATCAAAACTACCCCTATCCCCGGAGACTGTCTTGGTTATAAAAATCTTGTGGCACACTGAAATGAAGGAGGGCCACTCATGAAGACCACTCACTAACCTCAGTTGCCTAGGTGGAGAGTCAACAAGAAAGGGGATTATACTATACATAGAAAGCGATGGGGATCCAAATTAGCTGTTACCACTCAAGAAAGAGATCTTGGGGTCATTATGGATATTTTTATGAAAATGTCTACTCAATATACATCCACAGTCCAAAAAGAAAATAGAATCTTAGCAATCATTAAGAAAGGGATCAGGAATAAGATAAAAAATATCATATTGTCCCTATATAAATCCATGGCATGCCTACATTTTGAATACTGTGTACAGATTTGGTTGCCCCATCTCAAAAAATATATATTGGAATTGGAAAAAGATTCAAATGAAAATTATTAGGGGCATGGAACGGCTTCCATATGAGGGGAGATTAATAGCTTGGAAAAGAGACAACTAAAGAGGAATATGATATAAGTCCATAAAATCATGATTAGTGTGGAGAAAGTAAATGAAGTGTTATTTACTAATAACACACAAACTTGGGGTCACCAAATTAAATTAATATGCAATAGTTTTTTTTCCCACAGAACAACGTCAGGCTCTGGAACACCTTGACAAAGAATGTTGTGAAGGCCAGAACTATAACGGGGTTCAAAAAGAAGTAGGTAAGTCCATGGAGGATAGCTCCTTTGAGCCAGGATAGGCAAGGAAGTCGTTCCTTGACTCTGCTTGCCAGAAGTTGCAAATGGGCAACAGGGTATAGGTCACTTGATGATTATCTGTTTTGCTCATTCCAACTGGAGCACCGAGTACAGTGCTGTGAGAAGACAGGATTCCGGGCTAGGTGGATCTTTGGTTTGACCTAGAATGGGTGTCCCTGTGTTATGATGTTCATATTTTATTCTATCACTGTGTAAGTAGCTAAGGGATAAGTTAAAATATCTAATACAGGCAGTCCCCGAGTTACGAACGGGGTTTGCTGCCCGTCTCCCTGGTCTGCTGGTTTGCTGCCCGTCTCCCTGGTCTTTCCCGCTGCCGGCGTCCTCAGAGGCTTTACTCCCCGTCTCCCTGGTCCGCTGATCTCCAGCAGATCAAGGAGACGGGGAGCAAAGCCGCGGAACACGCCAGCAGCGGGACAGCCGCGGCGCGTCTGGGCTGTCCGTTGCCCACGTGCTCCGCAGCTTTGCTCCCGGTCTCCCTGGTCTGCTGGAGACCAACAGACCAGGGAGACGGGAGAAAAGCGGAGAAAAGCCACGGAGGACCCGGGTGGCGGGACTGCGGTGCGTCTCGGTCCTCCGCCCGCGTCTCCCTGGTCTGCTGGGGGGGGGGCG